TGAAAATTTTTGAAACTGGATTCCGACTCCGGTATCAAAAAGTCAACTCATCGGTCAAACTTCCAAACTTAAATTCTTGTTTTTAGCCATTTCAAGCCTAATTTAACTACGGACTTCCAAATAAAATTTCGAACACGCTCCTAAGTCCAAAATCACCATACGGAGCTGTTGGAATCATCAAAATTCTATTCCGGGGTCATTTTCTCAAAATGTTGACCGAAGTCAAACTTAGCACTTTAAGGCCAACTTAAGGAACTAAGTGTTCCGGTTTCACCCCAAACACTTCCAAATCTCGAACCAACCATCCCCGCAAGTCATAAATTATTACAAGCACATACTGGAAGTTTTATTTTTAGGGAACGTGATTTTAAAAGTTAAAATGACCGGTTGGGTCATTACACACTCTTTTTGGAAAAAGGTTTTAAAAAGAAAAAGAAAAAAAATGTTTTTCATTTAACATTGCAGAGCCTACATGAAAATATGCTCAAGAATTAATCAAAAACTAATTGATAGCACAACCAATAAAAAAAATTATACTCTCCTCATCTCATTGTGAATGTCCCATAGTTACTCGGTAAAGTTAAAGATTTAACAACATGCCTATTTGAGCTAATTATTGCAAAACGTGGAGAACAATCATTCTTCAACTCTTCCCGAGAGGTATGCAACATTTTATTCCAAAAAGCGTGGAGTAAAAATTGAATGTGCATATATATATATATAAAAGCAAATTAATTCAAGAGAAAATTAATGCTCAGGGCAATTGAGAGTTGTGCCCCGTTAGTCATGGATTAACCAATAACTCTGCCTCAGCAAGTCCCATCTTACTTGGATTGGCAACATTGATGTTTACTTGAAAACATGAAATACAAATTGTATTTTAAGAAAGAACATAAAAGTATTAGCAGAGGAAATAAAATAGTAGAAAGCGGTTACCCTTATATATATTTCTGATGCATAGGTAGTATCCTCTTCATTACACATATTACAGATAAATTCTCGCAAGTTTGCTTTCGGCTCTCAGTTATATATAATCAGAATTAGAACATTAGAGCCCTAAATGACAGTGCTACGCCACGTAATTTATATGGTAGAAATAAACTACTGTTAGAAATAGACTTTTGTTAAGCTAATCTAACTTTACAGAGATGAATCATGAAGTATATAACACATTTGAAAGATGAAGGAGGTCATCTTCACTTTACGCTTTTAAAATCACTAGAAGAAGGAATCTTGTAAGGATGATAGTTCTGCATCTTCTTTACTTCCTGCATGTTGAATCCTGTTTCACATACTTCGTAAACTACGGAAAATCACCACTCCAAAGTCCAAACAACCTGTGTTCACATCCTCGAAAATAAATATGAATGGATTGCAGAAGACAAAGACTTAGAAATAGGGAACGCTTAATTTACCCTTTTCAGTTTCATTTTGAGAGTTACTGTGTGTAAACACCTTAAATAGGGGAATAGGACTTTCTGATCTTTCATTTTCCTAAACGTCTTCCTCTAAAAGATGAAACTTAATTCTATAACCGAAACGTTAGGTAAGGGATTTAAAGAAGAGGAAATTAACTAAAAGAAGGAGAAAAAAAGAAAAGAAGATGGTAAAATCTGACAATCCTCTTTGTTTCTTTCACAATTCATCATTGTCCTTGTTGGTATTTATTTTACAGTTGTAAATACACATTAAATTATGTTGTAACTTCATGAATATATTGAATTTTTTTTATTAATAAAATAAGGTAAAAGGCCAAAAAAACCAGAAATTAGATAAATACTATTGAGGCCAAAGAGAGGTGCCACCTCAGCTCTTACATTCCCTCTTTTATATANGCAAATGGTTCTGCTCTTTTTTCCTGTTGTATATATTGAATAAAGACTTTTAAGTTCTATAGATATTACTACCACGTCTCGTTACTTTAATGATAGAAACTCTTTCTCCCGTTAATTAACTGATACAACAACCACACTAATATAAATGGAAAACACGACATAAATGTAATATGAATGGCACTGAAAGACAACTCAAAAACAAGGAAAATTATGAAAAATAGTTACATCCATTCTTCATTTTTCTTTTCTTGATTTTCAAA